GGATTGGGATTGGGGGGGAGGGGGGAGGCTGGGAAGGGATGTGAAGGGTAAACAAAGGAGGAGGCTGCAATGCTTGGTAAGAAATGTATGCATTATCCTGACCATGTAATTGTAACTCCTCTGTACAGTATGTTCACAAATAAAATAAAATTTAAAAAAATTTAAAAAAAATAAAAGTCGTGGGTCGGTGACTCTTGCCTATAATCCTAGCTACTCAAGAGGCTGGGATAAGAGGATCACAATTAGAAATTAACCCTGGCCAGGGAAGTCCATGACACTCTTAAAAACAGACAATGAAAGTCAGAGAGTGAAAGCTGGGGACTGTGGTTGAATAGAGTACCTGCCTAACAAGGACAGGCCCAGAAGTTCAATCTCCAGTATGGAGAAGATAATAATAATCAGAAAGTGATATAAAATCTTCATATTATATGATAGAGAAGTCAATACATAATTATTAAAATATTATAATTGTTATTTAGAAATATGGAAACAAATATGAAATGAAAAGAACTATAAAAGTTAAAAATTACTGTCTCTGAGAGACAGAAAGTTAAATAGAGTATTAGGGATAGCACCTAATTCTAAGAGCAATACTGTTTTTGTTTTTTCTTTTTAGCTAGTAACAAGGTTTAAACTCAGGGCCTCATGTTTGCTAGGAAGGTTTGATGATCCACACCCTTAACCCATTTTTGGCTTGCTTGCTATTTCTCAGCTATAGTCTTATGCTTTTTTCCTGGGAACAGTTTGAGACCATAATTTTCCTATTCATGCCTCACAGATGTGAGCTGCCTCACCCAGATCTGTCTATAAAGATGGGGTCTAACTTTTTGTCTGGGCTGGCCTCCAATCATGATCCTTCTAATCTCTGTCTCCTAAGCAGCTAGAATAAAATGTAAGTCATTGTTCATGGGCTCATTAAAAAGATTTTTTTTGTCAGTTGTGGGGCTTGAACTCTGGGCCTGGGCACTGTCCCCCAGCAATTCAGCTCAAGGCTAGTGCTCTACTATTTGAGCCACAGCTCCACTTCCAGTTTTCTGGTGGTTAATTGGAGGTAACAGTCTCTGGACTTTCCTGCCCGGGCTGGCTTTGAACCATGATCCTCAGATCTCAGCCTCTTGAGTAGCTAGGATTATAGGCATGAGCCACTTGCACCTGGCTAGAAAGAATATTTTTAAAGGTCTGTGCTCCAAAACTGCCCTGCTAACAAAATAATTTGGAACACAAAACTTAATCTCTCCATGGACCTTGCTGTCCTAAGATCAATTATTATTTTTATAAATATAGTAACAAACAAAAGCATTTTATTTATTTATTTTTTTGGGTCCAGTTGTGGGGCTTGAACTCTGGGCTTGGGCGCTGTCCCTCAGCTCTTCAGCTCAAGGCTAGCGCTCTACCACTTGAGGCACAGCACCACTTCCGGCTTTTTTCTTTTTGCTTATGTGGTGCTGAGGAATCGAACCCAGGGCCTCAGGCATGCAAGGCAAGCTCTCTACCACTGAGCCACCTTCCCAGCCCAAACAAAAGCATTTTAAAAGAAATAAAAGTAATCAATAAAATACAGAGCATTTAGTCATAACTTCTTTTTATACTGCAGACAGGAGAAAGTAGAACAGTATAATTTATAAAGTTCTTTCTCAGATAACTTCATTCAAATTAAGAGAAAACTTACCAGTTCCATGAAATGTTGTGCCAACAACACGAACACAGCTTGGAACTCGCAGATCCCAGAACCTAACAGTCTTATCTTGAGAACCAGATGCGATCATCCAGCCACTCCAGGTATAAAGTGCCAAAATGTGCCCTGTAAAAGATCAGGGTTATTTCTGTGAGAAAAGTCTTTGCACAGTATCTCCACGGCTAAGTACTCCTGATTAAGTGATGGTCTGGTTAATCATGTACACTCCATGATCGAGATTTCCTACGTGTATCACATTGATTGGATATGATGCTTTGTCATTTTGTTCTCTCAGTCTCACTTCCTTCATGCATAAAACTGGGCTCAAACCTCCAACATCATAAATCGATGGTGAGAATTAAGTTAAGGAATTTCATGATAATAATAGCTTTCAGGAAAGACAATTATCAATAACACTGATAAATAGTTGCTATCCATACTTTGCAATTTAAGTTTTTTGAATAAAAATTCCCTATCTTAAAAAGATCAATTTGGCATCCTGCAGCTCGACCCGAACAGCATCAACTGAGGCACAGGAGAAACACACAGAGCCACCACCGCCCAGCCCAGCCCACAACCACCTCAACTGAACTCTGATTGCAATGGCAACCAAAGACCTGTATCACACAGAAACAACAACTAGCTCCAGGGTGAGTACCCCACAGGGGACAGTGTATCCCTCAAAGGAGACCAGAGCTGGTGGGAATCCCCAGGCCCTGACCCAGACCCCAACACCTAGACCACAGGACCCACTAAAACTGGGTACTGTTCGAGAGTTCCACCAGCCCGTGAACCACACCCAGCTGGCCAGACTAGAGCAAGAGCGCCCCTGGAAGGGAGCTTAAACGCCCAAGCCAGGAACAGCGCCCCTGGGTCAAAACACCCAACAGTGGAAGAAATTTGAACTGTGTACCTAGGCAGGATACACAGCAGCACAGGTCCAACTGGTCTGCCCCAGGCCAGGGCCGGGACCAGGCCTGGGGATCCAGTGCCTGAGCAACACAACCAACTCCTCCCAATTGAAGTCAGAAGCTGAGCATATGTCTCAGCAGAGGGGGAAAAAACAGGGAACTGTACCCCTGGGAATCACGCCTGTGACAGCAAAAGACCCGGGGGTTCAGGACAAGAGAAGCCCAAACCTCACCAGAACCTGATCCATATATTCTAGGCTGGGAATTTGACAACACAGGCTGCCAGCACCTGATAATAGTCAGGAGCTCAGGCTGGTAAGGTGGCTCGGCAGTAGAGTGCTTGCTTGGGTGCATGAGGCCCTGGATCTGATTCCTCAGCACCACATAAGCAGAAAGGGCTGGAACTGGTGCTGTGGCTCAAGTGGTAGGGTGCCGGCCTTGAGCTGAAGAGCTGAGGGACAGCGCCCAAGCCCAGAGTTCAAGCCCACAACCGGCCAAAAAACAAAAACAAAAACAAAAATCAGGAGCCTATAGCAGACTCCAGCATCTGGGAGAGTGCATCCAGCACATCCGATCTCACCTAGAGCACCTGTAGGAGCAAACAGGAGCAGTCTAGGCTGCTCAACCCTTCTAAAGACAGGAACTGCCAGGGATCTACAGCAGAGAGCCCAGAACCCTATGTAAGTCAGACCAGCAGCTGGAGGTCGGCCCCCAACAGAACCGAGATCAGGTACAGACTCTCTCTACCAGCACGGAAACAGCAACCAAGCAAAGACAGATACCTATTGACCAAAACAAAATTTCAGATTAGTCTCCAATAGTCCCTGAATCCCCATGTAAAAATCACAGAGAAAAATTACAAGGTTTATCAACACCCAGGATAGCAAGCTATCCCCAAAAGCCAGCAGCCACCCAGGGGAGAACCCCAGTGGGAGCAAAGCAGGAATTGAAGACAAAAGCTACATCCAAGGGATGCTGGAGGCAATGACTCAAGAAATAAAGTGAGAAACAGACCAGAAATTGAAAGAACACGGGGTCGAAATATCGAAAAAGATGCAGGATATCAACAGGAGATGCATGCAAAAATAGAGGCAGCACACAGGTCACTAAGAGGTGAGATTAGTGCAAAAATAGAGGCAGTACACACCTCAATAAGAGGTGAGATTAATACTTTGAGAACCAACATCAAATCCATAAATAAGTCCATTTCCTCCATGCAAACTACAATGGAAGCCATAGTTAACAGAGTGAACGAAATGGAATGTAGAGTGTCAGATACAGAAGATAGAATACACCAACTGGACCAAAAAATGACAGATATGGAAAAATCACTTAAATTATGCCAAAGGGAAATTCAAGAGCAAGCGGATAGTGCCAAGAAATTTAGCCTTCATATAATTGGAGTGGATGAAGGTGAGGAATATCAAAGCAAGGGAATGCAACACCTATTCAACAAGATAACCGGTGAAAATTTTCCCCATCTCATAAAAGAACATCTTACCTACATAACAGAAGCATATAGAACACCTAACAAGCAAGATCCCAGGAGAAACACTTCTAGACACATTATAGTAAAAATGATAGATCTGAATAATAAGGAAACAATCTTGAATGCAGCAAAAATGAAGAAGGAGTTATACTACAATGGGAAAAAAATTAGAATCACTGCAGATCTTTCCACACAAACACTGAATGCAAGAAAGGCCTGGGAAAGTACCATACGAGCCCTGAACATTTTTATTTTTATTTTTGTTTTGTTTTGTTTTTTTGGGGTCCGGTCGTGAGGCCTGAACTCTGGGCCTGGGTGCTGTCCCTCAGCTCTTCAGCTCAAGGATAGCACACTACCACTTGAGCCACAGCGCCTCTTCCGGCTTTTTATCTTATGTGGTGCTAGGGAATCGAACCCAGGGCCTCATGCATGCAAGGCAAGCGCTCTACCACTGAGCCACCTTCCCAGCCCCCTGAACATTTTTAGTAGCAAAGAAAAACTAAATGAATACATAAACATTAAGCTAGCATTACAAAGAATACTAAGAGGGGGAACACAACCTGAAGAAAACAACCAGGAACAGGGACCTGCACCCAGACAGGCATTAATAGAAGTCTAACTGAGCAAGCACAGGAGGAAAGGAAAGAAGAAAAACTGAGGAAAACAGGGAATGACAGGGACTACAACACATCTCTCTATACGATCTCAATATCAACGGTCTTAATTCACCAATCAAAAGAAAAAGAACTGCAGATCAGAAAACATGAACCATCCTTCTGTTGCCTTCAGGAGACGCTCCTCTCAGCCAAACATACAAACAAACTCAGAGAGAAGGGTTGGAAAAGGATCTACCGATCAAATGCCTCCAGTAAGAAAGCAGGTGTAACAATCTTGATATCTGACAAAATAAACTTTTCATTAAAATCAACACAAAAAGACAAAGACGGACACTACACATTAATACAGGGAACAATCCAAGAGGAGGATATTACTCTCATCAACTTATACTCCCCAGACATTGGTGCACCCAAATACTCTCAAACTTACAGAATAAAATAGATCCCAATACGCTAATACTAGGAGACTTTAACACCCCTCTCTCACCAAAGGACAGGTCTACCAACCAGAGGATTGGCAAAGAAGCTACCGAATTGAGGCCATACTTCAAGCGGAACTAACTGACATCTACCGAGTATTTCACCCTAAAACAACACAGTACACATTCTTCTCAGCAGCTCATGGAACTTTCTCCAAAATAGACCATATCATAGTTCATGCAAGGAACTTAAGCAAATACAAGGGGATGGACACAATCCCCTGTATTCTATCTGACCACAGTGGAATCAAGCTAGTTCTTAATAACAAAGCATACCTCAGAAATTACATGGAAATTGAACAGCACACTTCTAAGCAATGCCTGGGTAATGGAAGAGATTAAAGAAGAAATTTAAAAATTCCTACAGCTCAATGATAATGAAAACACATCACAAAGAAACTTTTGGGACACAGCAAAAGCAGTCCTGAGGGGCAAATTTATTGCCCTCAGTGCCCACATCAAGAAAATAGAGACAGACCAAGTAAATAATCTCATGTTGCAATTAAAACAGCTAGAAAACATGAAAAAATGGAACCTAAAGTTCCTAGACGAAGCCAGATAACCAAACTAAGAGCAGAGATGAATGAATTAGAAAATAGGAGAATCATAGCCAAAATTAACAAAACAAAAAGCCGGTTCTTTGAAAAAATAAATAAAAATTGTTTGGAAATCACAACACATATCCAAGATATCCAAACAATTTTAATGGACTACTTTCAAAAGTTATACTCTCTAAAGAAAGAAAACTTTTCAGAAATGGAAGCATTTTTACAGAAATACAAGTTGCCCAAACTGAGCAAAGAAGAAGTAAATCAATTAAATAAGCCAACATCCTACAATGAGATACAGGAAGCAATCAGAAGTCTTCCAACAAAGAAAAGCCCAGGACCAGATGGATTCACAACAGAATTCTATAAGACCTTTAAAGAAGAAATAATACCCATATTCCTCAAGCTCTTCAGAGAAACAGAGAAGGAGGGAGCTATCCCAAAGTCATTCTATGATGCCAATATTACACTCATCCCCAAACCAGGCAAAGACCCAACCAAAAAAGAGAATTACAGGCCAATTTCCTTGATGAACACAGATGCAAAGATCCTTAACAAAATTCTAGCTAACAGAATCCAGAAACACATTAAAAAAAACATACACTATGACCATGTAGGCTTCATCCCAGAGACGCAGGGATGGTTTAACATACGTAAGTCAATAAATATAATCCAACACACACATCAACAGAGCCAAGGTCAAGAATCACATGATTATCTCCACAGATGAAGAAAAGGCCTTTGATAGAATTCAACATTCATTCATAATAAAAGCTCTGGAGAAAACAGGAATAGAAGGAACATTTCTTAAAACAATAAAGGCCATTTACAACAGACCAATAGCCAATATTAAACTTAATGGGGAAAAGCTACAACCAATTCTCTTAAAATCAGGAACAAGGCAAGAATGCCCACTGTCTCCACTCCTCTTCAATATAGTCCTGGAACCCTTAGCCAGGGCAATAAGGCAAGAAAAAGACATTAAAGGGATCCGCATAGGGAAAGAAATTAAACTATGCCTTTTTGCAGATGACATGATACTATACCTTCACGATCCCAAAAACTCCATCCCCAAACTCTTAGAAATCATAAATCACTTCGGCAAAATAGCAGGATACAAAATAAACCCACAAAAATCAGTCGCCTTCCTGTACACTGACAATGTACAAGCAGAGAGGGAAATAAAGGAAGCAATCCCATTCACAATAACCTCCTAAAAAATAAAATATTTAGGAATTAACCTAACCAAAGATGTAAAAGAACTATTTAATGAGAACTATAAAAAGTTAAAGAAAGAAATTACAGAAGACACTAAGAAATGGAAAGACCTCCCATGCTCTTGGATAGGCAGACTTAATATAGTGAAAATGGCAATACTGCCAAAATTAATATACAAATTCAATGCAATTCCTATAAAAATCCCAATGACATACATCTCTGAAATACAGAAACAGTCCAAAAATTCATATGGAATAACAAAAGACCTAGAATAGCCAAAACAATTCTAGGGAATAAAGACAACATGAGAGGGATATCCATGCCAAACTTCAAACTGTTCTATAGAGCCATAATAACAAAGACAGTATGGTACTGGCACAAAAACAGACCCAAAGACCAATGGAATAGAAGATCCAGAAATAAATCCACATGCCTACAGTCAGCTGATATTTGACAAAGGAGCCAAAGACATACAATGGAAAAAACACAGCCTCTTCAACCACTGGTGCTGGGAAAACTGGGCAGCCACATGCAGAAAACTAAAAGTGGACCCCAGCCTATCACCATGCACCAACATCAACTCAAAATGGATTAAAGACCTTAACATTAAACCTGAATCTCTGAAACTACTGCAGGACAGAGAAGGAGAGACACTTGAACTAATAGGCACAGGAAGGAACTTCCTGAAGAGAGTCCCAGGGTCACAACAAATTGGAGAGAGACTCAACAAATGGGACTACCTTAAAATAAAAAGCTGCACAGCTAAAGCTATCGCAACCAAGCTAGAAAAACAACCAACTAATTGGGAGAGAATATTTACCAGCAATATATTAGACAAGGGGTTAATATCCAGTATATACAGGGAACTCAAGAAACTAATCCCTCCCAAACCTAACAAACCAATTACTAAATGGGCAAGGGAACTAAAGAG